TACTTTATCATTTGGAGTAGAATAACAAAAAGTGAAAAAAGCACGACTAATTTATGAAGCCATCTCACGAAGTCATCCCGTTGTGCGGATCCTGGTGTTAGTTTACAGAAATTGCGGCTCATATTCTCTGAATAGCTTAGGCATACTTTAACGGTATGCATCATCTTTGTCTGAAGCCCATCTGTTCCCTTATCAAAGTAGCCGCAAATACAAATAGAATGTCAGAGACGACTGTGCTTCATGTGAGCCCAATCAGATGGATTTCGGGACCACAATTCTATTGGACTAGCACCCCCACGGGATCCAACAGAAGAGATTCTTTGGTGTTATTGCAAGAAACTAACCACTACGTTAACTCATCCACATTAGCCTGTTTCCTCATAGCAACCGGCAATAGCAATAAAATTTTCGTTGATTGTTTAGAGTCTAGGTTACTGCTCAGTGTTGCTGATCTGCCCAGTGGGTAAACAGAGGAGACAAGTCAGACGAGTATTCTGGTTAAAATTGAGTATTTCTAGTTGAATGGCGCAGTAATGCAAATGACTTTTGATACATCAAACGCTTTGGAATTACCGTGGGAATTCAGTACAAATTTGTCTGGTTTGCTTGACATAGAGGTGAAAGCCAAAACCCCATCGGGTGAGCTACTCATCAACCGCCATACAGGATCCAGGTAAATAAGCAGCTGAGCATTTACCTGTGAAAAATCCAAAGGCTAAAACAAAAAGGTTGAAGCGCACCTATTGATTCGCGAACTGAACGTGCACTTATTTCATCATCAGGAACAATCAACATACTGAGGTCGATATGCGGACGTTTGCGCAAAATATGGTCAGTCCGTGAAACATAAACAGACTGACGCTACCCATAAGGTTTGTTGCATATCTTAATAACAGTTACGAGGAACCAGTAGTACCGTACTGCACCGTAATGAATAAACTACTGTCATCGGTGCGTCCAACAGAGTGTGCAACCCAGTGATGTTTCTTTCGAAAACGTCCCCCTCGGGCAGCTGGTTGATGGTAGTGTTTGAACCTCTTCTCTGACCTTGGATTTTTCCAAGAATATTGTACAGTATTATAGGTTTTCTGACATGTCGGTAAGTCAGCACATTCCTCTAGCTGCTGAAGCGTGTGACCCATCACAGTTTCTAAACAGCGTCACACGCGTCACATATTTCACACTAAGCTGCATATTATCAAAGAAGGCAACTCTCAGTGTTGGCCTAGATGCTTTGCTGCCGTACAGCCATAAGGTTCGTCTAGTTACATATTTAGTTATAATTATATTAAAAGCCCTGGGGTACCACTTGAGAAAAAAACTGCTATTATGATTTGGCACTGTCATCTCCGCTGATCTAAAAAGTTCAGCTTTGATGGAAAACAAATTTTGGGCGGTGTTTGGGCAGTGATATTTTGCATAGGCGGGGTCACGGGAACCCCATCCTGGAAGGCGTACAACGCCAACAACACCCAAACTCGCTTCAATTTGTTTCACACCTTTCCGCCAAGTCATACGCTGTCCAGCTTGCGGTTTGAGCCGTTCTGAGGGAGACACGGAGAACAACAGTCGCCTCGGTAGACGGTGTTTCGGCATGTGTAGCACATGACCGAGCCATCGTAGTCGGTGGTGCTGGATGTTTTCTCGGATCGAAGTACCTGCAGCACAACCAAATACCCGTTTTCTAATTACCTCGTTACTAACACACTGACGCCATCCGAAACCAGGCATGCTTCTGAGGCATTGGTGGTCGGAGACCTGAAGACGCCCCACATCATCTGTCCCCAGATGCTCACCTCAGTAGGACGGACCGTGTAAGGTCCAAACTGTGGAGAGTCAACTCAACAGACTTTGGCAGGTTGATCAGGTTTCTGGTATTCGTAACCAGTCCCTCAGCCCAGTCAGGAATCGTATGATCAGGCTGCTCATGTGAATTGCGGGCTATACGTTCTATGTGAAACTTAGGGCGAAACCCGATTTCCCACAAAGTCATGAAAACACAAGCACACAACTTCAGGCAGAAAAAATTGTCAAAAAGTTTTAGCCGAAGTACCATACCCCCGAGGACAATTTAGAGGTCTTGTGTTAAGTAGGCGGTTTACTAATTTATCAATAGCGACAGCGGAAACCACAGGAACAATAGCGGTCTATAAATTTCCGCTGACCGAAGTAATTTGGCGTATTGCGGATAACGGCCAGCAGGTCAGAAAAAAACCTAGCGGGTTTGACTCCGCCCAAAGGTTCATTAAGAACAAACTGCTAATAATTTTATACGGAGCAAAACAGATTTAGCTTGTTTTTTTTTTCAGTTTCTCTTCAGAGTTACACCGTTTTCTATGGGTACAGATTCCGCTTCTATTTGAGAACGTTTATGTGAGAAATAATGTTCCGGGAAAAAAAGGTTCTTTTAGTCCCATTAGTTTAGTTGGGCTTCATAAATTCAAATGACAGTGCACGAAAGGCCAACAGAAACGATCAGTTTTTCCAAAGTTTTCCGATAATACAATTTTGCGTTCTACTAAAGAGCACGTATCCTTGAGAAGCACACGCGCAGAACGAGGAACAGAAACACAACCGGGTGCCCTTGTCGATTGTTATTGCTCAATTCGACAGAACTGTCTTTTTTGTTGAATAAGCAGTTTCTCTGTTACACCGTTTTCTATGGGTACAGATTCCGCTTCTATTTGAGAACGTTTATGTGAGAACTAATGTTCCGGGAAAAAAGGTTCTTTTAGTCCCATTAGTTTAGTTGGGCTTCGTAAATTCAAATGACAGTGCACGAAAGGCCAACAGAAACGATCAGTTTTTCCAAAGTTTTCCGATAATACAATTTTGCGTTCTACTAAAGAGCACGTATCCTTGAGAAGCACACGCGCAGAACGAGGAACAGAAACACAACCGGGTGCCCTTGTCGATTGTTATTGCTCAATTCGACAGAACTGTCTTTTTTGTTGAATAAGACAAGACAAGACAAAAAGAAGGCAATACTCAGAGCTTTCGCCGCACATTTTCGTTTGTTTTATTGTAGTTTGCATGACATACTACTATCCAGTCTTCATTTTTCCAAATACTTCATTGTTTCGTTCATTCCCAAGTAGTGCCATGGGGTACACAGCCTCCGAGAAGGTGTTTTGAAACCTGCTGAAACTCACTTATGGTTCAGGTCACACATTCTCTAGAACGGCGTACAACCTGCTGGTTTACACCAGATATCTTGTTGAAGACCTCACTTTTCAAACCGTCCTCATGAAATATTAATTGATTCAGCATCCCAAGATCACTTGAGCCAAAATCCACGATTGTGTTCACGTATCTGACCATCAAACCTGAAGTGTGTTGACCAACCTTCTTGATCATACTCTGATGTATTTCGGGGGATGTATGAACATCAGTTCCTGCCGTTAAAAGTTGGATCGCAAAAGCCTTAGTCGAACGTGCTCTTCTGTACTGATATACCGACACTGACAAGATTATTGGATATTGTTATCGTCCTGACTTCGCCGCCAATGCTTTATTATTGTGTCTAGGATGACATATGCAACGGAGACACTTTTCAGCCTAAGTAGGTAGACTGCTCCTTCCTTTGATATCTTTCTATCAGAGTGTAGATGAATTTCCAACCCAGCACTTTCATTGCTTTCTCGTGGGCTCACTTTATTCGGAGCACTCTCTTGGGTGATTGGAAGCAAGCTCTGTACTTTGAACAACAAGTGGTGGTGCCGAGCCTACTTCCATTCAGGGCAAGCCCCTAGGTCTAAACCTGGACTCAGTGAAATCAATCTGTAATGAACTGTGTGCTGGAGACGTACCAGATGCTTCTAAAGCTTTTGAGTAGCATTCGGCTGTCAATCGGCCTTAGTATTAAACGCGATGCCTGAGCGACGATCACCAGTTCCCTGTATTTGCGAGGACATGACAAGTCAAAATATGAACCAAAATGAATGCTACCCAAGTCTGAGTATGCACAAAAAATGGCTCATAAAGACTGAGGAGCGAATACCGCTGGATCTGTGAAAAAAATGCAGAGATCAGGAAAGGCCATATTCATGGCTTTCTCACCGATCCAAATAGGTGTAAGTTGTGATGCATACGGCAAGTGCTGCAGTATATATCACACCTAAACCACACAAAGACGATGAGACTATACCGCATGAATCGTAACCATGTTGAATAGAGTTATATAAATTCCAGTGGTAGGAAGGTTACTTTGGACTGTTCTGAGGGATGCGCATTTCACTGAACCGACACAGAGAGCGTGTTAACAGACTTCGCGAATCTACATAACCGATTGCTTCCCAGCTTAGGTCTGGCCCGAGGCTGGACCCCAGTGACGACTGATACTGATTCCGAATGGGCTGATAGTTCGAATCGGACGCTGCAGTGGGTTCTTTTGGTGCAATCCTAGCCATATTTTTTCAAGCTAAAGCCATCATTTCCTCAGCGAAATTCAAATGTTCAACCCCTCGCCGGAATCCAAAAACAGGGTCCCAATATGATGCGGCATCATCAGCAGCAAAATTCCAGCGCGAGCTTCAAAATCCGCATTGACGAGGAACCCACCATCCACCGGATCAATTTCCAGACCAGCGGAGTCGGCAGTTTGGGTGTTCGGTTTAATAGCAGTGTCTATAATCACGTGATCAACATCTACGTCTTCTACTTTGTCCCCTTCAACCGCATTTCGGTGAATCCGCAGACGAACCCGTTGTGGCACGACTTCACTTGCTGCCACCGTCTGCAAGGTGGCAAACGAAATCTTTTCACCTTTCCGAACAGTAACAGGTGACGGCACCGACTTGGGGACTACCGAGATGCTAACAACTTCAGAAGATGGCCATAATTCGGTACCTCGTCCGGTGAGGGGAAGCAGACAGTCGATCATGACGATTTACGCTTGCTTTCTTTCCTCAATTGCGAGAAACTGGTTTGACAGTCCGGCGACATATATCTTGCCTCCGTTTTGCGATGTCAGTATCCTGATTCAAGTTCGGGGTTATCTCTAATCAAATTGGCTTCATGAAGTTGATTGTCCGTATCCTAAATGATGTGTATCATGCGGCGGGAATGGCGAAGAACAAAGCGTGTCTGGGATTGCTTTGTCTGTCGATGAGGTATCATTGTGCTCAATGATACAGGGCAATCCTTACTAAGTCGCTTGCGACAGACCGATTTCAACATCAATCTAAAATCAAAACTGAATGTGCCCTTGTTAGTAGTGAGCTTTGTTAACTGTACACCAGTTTTCAGTATTCCAAGTCCCAGGTTTCGTGCTTGAAATCCGGGAACATTGGTAACAGAACCCATGCAAGCTGAGAAACATGTTTGACTGTCTTAACTGGAAATATGGGCGGGGGGTTGCACAATCAGTGTGTATATGTTGCTAGGGGATAAGGTAAGGTTGTCAATTTATCCTTACATGGGACAGTGTAATTAGTGTACCAGACTCCCCTCCTAGTAACTTCTGAATGGCTAATGCATCGGCATCCGTCCGCCTGAAACCGCTTTTTCTCCAACGCATGTTCAAATTCATTTTTTCAGTTATTTCTACCGCAACTCTATTTTTCAGCTACTGTACACACAGACACTAGTTCTGAATCGAGCAATTTCGACTCATCCCTGCGGAAAAGTATGTTCCTGTGACAGAGCTCCGATTGCGGACTTCAAACAAGGATTCTTAATCAGGCCCGGTGACTTTGATCCGCGGTAACAATAATGCGTATAACATGGTCACAGGGAGTACCAAAGTGCTATCAGATTACGCAGTATATATATACATATATATAGACATGTATATATACGTATATATATATTTTGTAGGAGGAGCC